TTTTGCCTCTAGTTCTTATTGTTCTATTACTATTTAAAAAAAAAAAAAATCTTTTATTCCTCACCCCCTTCCCATTCCTCTGCCCCCAGAGTGTTTACAGTGCTTAAAATGTTATTAAAGTCTTCCAGGGGAATTTCTAGGCGTGAACTCAAGGTGTTCATTTACCTTGTTAAAGGAATTACATTTAATATTTCAAATGTAATTACTTACAATATTTAGGCATACCTAAAATTTTGACTTGACGTGTGTAAAGCCTGCAGGTTCATGCAGAACATGACAAAGATTATGAGAGTAAGTCTAGGCTTTTACTGGTCTGTAAGTAGGTGATCTGAAAATTGCCAGGCTGCTTGCTGTTTGGATGTGTTAGTTGGCATCGAAGCTAACGCGTGTGTCATCCAAGTAGCCCTGTGGTTTTTCAGAGGTCGCCGTGAACTGGGAAACGCTGACCTTGCTGGGGTTTGGAAGTCGTACGTACCCCTGTGGTGTAGGGTCTGGCTAAGGCAGGGATGAGATATGCAGCAGATCTATGGCTGCTGCTGTGCCCTGGAGTTTCTACGTTCCTTCCCTCACACAGGAAAAAACAGAAAGAAATTAAAACTTCCAGCAAGGTGTGCAGCAAGCTGGTGGCTGGGCAGGGCGCTAAGTGGCTTTGCTGCAAAGAGCATTGCGGAGACAGTGGAAGAGGCAGTCTCACTGTTTTTGTTCATTCATGTGTGGTTTGTTTTTTTTTTTTTTTTGTTCTCCACACCTGATGGTGCTGAGAAATTTCATTGACCCAGATTTTACTTGTTATCTTTTAAGATCAAGCAGATAATTTCACTGCTGTGACTCTTCCAGAACATTATGCAATCTGTGTGCAGTCGCCCTCTGTGTCAAGATGAGTCTGTGCTGTTGGCAGGCATCTGGATTAGACTTTTTTCATCTCTTCAGTACAGCTGTAATAAACTAGTAACTGAAGGTTTTCTTTTTCTTCGGTGACTGTATGTGATTAGCTTAAATTTCAGAAGGTCATCTTCTGGTCCCTGCTTATCTTCTTCCAGTCCTTGACCTCTGGACATCTTTTTTGTACTTACTCTATCTTAATCTGTTTTTCCGTTGTTTCAGTCTTGTCTCTGTCTTTTTCCATTGCCATTTCTCAGTTGCGTGGAGATCTTTGGACATAATCTGTTTGGCTATTTGTACAGCCAGATTCCTTCTTACGCCACTGTGATCACCCTTCATGGGCATTAAACCCGGAGCCGTGAGTGCTGTCACGCAGGCGAAAGAGCCCTCTGAGGTGTGAGCTGTAAGCGGAGCCGCTTGGTTGCTTTGCTCCCCGGCACTCCCCACCCTGCATCAGTGGATTCCACGGCGCAACTATCCACAGCAGGGAGAGTAACAAGTGGGTTGCAAAAACAATGAAAAACTTCATGATTTAATGCCTAAACCCTCGTTTTTATGTTTCCCTTTCAGGTAAGTGTTTTTGCTGTGAAGAATCACGAAGACACAATTTAAATACAATCATTCTGAATCTTTTTGAAGGAAAAAGCGTTCTGCTCTATCGGTTAAACTAGGACCTCTATCTTGTCATAAACTCTTCCAAATTCCTTTTATTCTTTAATTAGGAAAGCCCACATGGTCGATTAAGAAGAGGATCAGTACTGTTCAGATATGTAACTTCCCCCTTTTTTTTAGTTGAATTTTACATGTTTTCAAATGATTGTTTATTTGTCTCCCCAAAATAAGTAATGAAACCAATGTTTTGCCACTTGCAACAATGTGAATAACAACAAGGTGAAGAAAAATACTAATTCAGGAGTGGTTTCAGCATGTATTTCCTGTTGTGTATTGCCTGTTCTCAAGGGGCATTTGTGCTTGTTTTCTTTTCTGCAAAGATGAATGGGCAAGTGGAAAACAGATTTTATTTCTTTGCTTTATTACAGGCTCCAGGAACAGAAAAGTTGAAATGCTGTTAAAATTCCCCCAAATCTCTGAGGACGCACAAGGTTTTCTTGGATATAAAAAAAATTTAAAATTTGCCCCAAATAATTGTTTATTTCATGTTAAAAGTCCCTGGAAGCCTACCCAGTGTTCTGATGTTGTGTGCTGTGACTTCTGAGACAGGAGCTGCTGTTGTCCAGCAAAAGCTGGTGAGGAGGTGCATGGCTGCTGTGCCTGAGCAGCATGTTTAAATGGGAGTTGTGGGGAATCCCCACTCTGGAGACTGGTGGAGTTATGGGGAGGTTTATTCAAAGCATCTTGAAGTCTTCCTACAAGGTTTGGTTAAGCCTGGGGAGACTAGTCAGTGTCAGTGGACAGAGGTACTTACATTAACAATTTATGCACCAAAGTGTTTCTTCAGGCAAGAATTTGCCTTGCAGCTCACCTAGGGATTCTGCAGTATGCTCGTGTGCCCTGCACTGCTTGTTTCAAGTCATTGCCCTCCTAACGGAGTGAAGTCTACAGCACCCAGCTTGTAAAAGGGATGTAAAGGGCTCTGCGTGAGTGGTATGTGACTGGGACTGGCCAGTGGTGCACAGTTTGTTCATGGTAAAGATGTGACATGTGCTTGTTGTCCTGGAAGCGTGTTGGATTGCAGCAAATTAAACCCTGGACCTTCTGTTTGTGCCATGCTAGGCGGTGGTGGAGGCACCCTGACAGCCACCATCGCCCAGCACAGTTGGGATAGCCTTCCCAGCTTGTAGGCGGGACGTTTCATAGGATCACAGAATGGTTTGTGTTGGAAGGGACCTTAAAGACCATCTAGTTCCAACCCCCCTGCCATGGGCAGGGACACCTTCCACTAGACCAGGTTGCTCAAAGCCTCATCCAGCCTGGCCTTGAACACTTCCAGGGATGGGGCATCCACAGCTTCTCTGGGCAACCTGTTCCAGTGTTTCATCACTCTCTCTGTGAAGAACTTCTTCCTGATATCTAATCTAAACCTCCGTGCGTTCAATTTAAATCCGTTACCCCTTGTCCTGTCACCACAGGCCCTTGTAAAAACTCCCCCCCAGCTTCCTTGTAGCCCCTTCAGGTACTGGAAGGCTGCAATAAGGTCTCCCTGGATCCTTCTCTCCTCCAGGCTGAACAAGCCCAACTCTCTCAGCCTGTCCCCATAGCAGAGGTGCTCCAGCCCTCTGAGCATCTTCGTGGCCCTCAGGCAGAGAAACCAAGACTGAGGCCTTCAGTCATGAGCAGACATGTCAAGACTGTATACAGGCAGTCTCACGGCACTTCTTTCTGCCCTGGTATCTAAATTTCTGCCTAGGGATCTAAATCCTGAAAGGACTTTGCTTGGTCTATTGTGGCAAGGGAGGAGAGCGTAAATGTTTCAGTTAGTGTGCCAGATTTTTATCCTGCCTCTGAAAGCTATTTTGTTCTTGGCATGAGCTCTTCCAGCACTTGTGGGAAGTCTTGGGCTGGCTCTCCTGAGTCTGATGGGGTCATGTAACTCCTACAGATGAGATGCAGTGACCCTGCTCCATCAACAGAGATAAAGGGACTAAGATGAGACTGAGGCATGTTTTGGTTCGATGTGCTAAGCACCTTGCTTCAAGACAGAGAAAACTCATGAGGAAAGGTTTAAAAAGATAGAGGTGGAAAAGGAAGAACTGAGGGTTATCCAGGTAATGATTTCTCCTCATCACTCAAGCTGTGCCCATTTTCCTAGTTACATTCTGCAAATATAAAATAGCATATGTAAGTGATGCTAAGTGTTTTCTATTTAAAACATGTTTTATTATCCGTTATCTTGAATGAAAGCTGGTTTCATTGACTAACTTCTGTTTTTTTATTAAATTACTCTGAAAGATCATAGTTGACAGAATCCAATCTTTCGCCCTTCTATAGCAGGTCTAATTCATATGTGAGTTCTACGTTACTCCTCCAAACTTGTCATCTTACTCTACTTCTGAAACTGCTTCCTTGCCTTGTAGTTTTATGGCATCCAAAATATTACTGTTTTCCCATGACAAACTGTGCTAGGAGAAGTTTGATGTGAACTGATACAAGAACTTTCTCTTTTTTTGAAACTTAATTGTTAAATGCATCTTGTGAAGCAGACTGTTGCAAGAAGTGCTTGTGTATCATTTGGCTATTGCCTGGGTAGTAAGATCCTGATTGTTTATGGTAATTGCCTTCTTTTATAACTCTTGCAAGTGGAATGGAGAATTCAGCTTCCTGAATAGCTTGGTGTGATCATAATGTTCTCTAAATCAGTATTTGGAGATGGTAGCCCTCTCCCCTTCCTGTCTGAAATTATCTCACTGTATTTATTGAATTCATATTCAAAAAATACATGAATTATATATACATACATGAATATGTATATGTTGAATGCATATTCCTATATATCCTGTTGTACAGATACCATACTTCATTAAGAGGGCTGTTAATCTGTAGGTCAGTACATGATGTAAAGAGTAGCAAAGAGCGGTGCAGTTCTCATGAGGAATGTCACGAACGCAAGCTGTTACTGTTTACCTGAGCATTACAGTCAGATGGAAACATACCTTACAGATTCCAGTTTGACTGTAGGCCACAGCAGGAAGGTGAAGTTGAGTGGTGCAGAAAAATCAACAGTGATAAATAGCAATTAGAGGAGGAAGCTTTTCAGAATGATATTTGACAAAACCTGTTTGAGGGAGCAAATGAAACAAACATGGCAATTTACTCTTGGCCCCCTTTCATGTGTAGTTGCAGACTAGGTAAGGGAATGAATGAATGATGGTGAAGGTGAAAAGACAAGAAGGTTACTGCCATTTAAGAAGGCAAGTGATAGAGATGGAAGAATAAAACCAGCTGAGAATTAAAGCTGGAGGGAGGATGGACAGTAAAACTGGCAGATGACAGAAGGACATGCACCTCAAGCGGCATCATTTGGAAATGGAAAAGCAGTAGGTATGCAGCTGAGATCATGAAGGTGAAGAGTGAGGCTTTGTTGTCTTGTAGGACTATCACTGCAGGAAAAGGAGAAATTAAGCAGGAAAGAGGTATCCCAGACTGTGCTGGCAAAAATTCATGCAGAAACACAGAACAACTGGAGGAGGAAGGAGCAGTCCTTGAGAGAGCTGGAGTGTGTACAAGGTGTCACCCAGCACTTAGGGGACAGGCAGGTTCTTTTAGGGATCCTTGGCAGAATGATACGACCAGGGGTCAGAAGCCAGGAGTACGCATCACACAAGGGTACCTGCATACAAGGGAACACAGGGCTGGGAGTAGCAAAAGAGACAGAGGTCCTGAGAATGCGGTCAAAAACTGCCATGGTGCAGTGAGGGCTAGAGGTTGCCTGAGAACCGTGGGCTGCAGGGACACCCCATGACACTGCCAGCCAGGAGCAGGAAGCCCCAGGCATCGGGCACCTCCCTGGGGACAGGGAAAGGCTGAGGCTTGGATGGGACGTCAGCCCGTGGGTGGGTAGGGGTCAGGATCAGACACAACCTTGCGATGGCTGGGCAGGACCTTGGCATTGCTACGGACAGTCGTCAGAGAGTAAAAGGGGGAAGGCAAGATGGGTTATTTGTGGTTGTAAATGTTTTGCTGAACACATGAAGTCAATTAAGTGTCATAAATATCCACAGGTTTTATTATGATGTTGAGTTTGATGATGTATACTGCTGTCTTCAAATATTGTTTAGAAGTGGTAAAAATGGGCAAACAATTAGAAATATGAGATAAATAATAAGATTTGTAGGAGCTATATACTGATCTTGCTCCCTTATTTATCAAAAGCTGTGTCATACCATTGCCTATGACACATAATGGTTTGGCAATATAGAAAGAGAAAATAATTTTCTGCCTAGTATTTTCTTTTTCTTTTTAGTAAATAATAATATTTCACAATTATCATAGAAAGTACTGCATGCCATCTGGAAATAAGGAGATTGAGCTTTACTATTAAATGCTAGTCTTATTCTCTAATAATTTCATTAATGCATCTCCCAAAATGCTCTTGCTCTAGCAGATTTCCCTAAATGTGGTGCTTGGAAGCTGGTCATGCATTTAACCTGCAGTGTGAAATTGAGGATATTTCTTCGGTCAGAATTTGTCTGAGAAATGTTGTAACATCATCAATAATGTATAAGTGTAACAGGTTTACATTAAAAGCAAGCTGCAGACTATGTCACTTCTACCCTGCACAGTAATTCCTGCATGGCAATTAGTTTTACAATGAGTATGTAAAAATGACTGGGGGGGGGTGAGGTGCAGAATATACATGTAGTGAATTTTTGGAAGCTAGATAACCTTTTGATTGATGACACGACCCAGTTCAATTCAAATTGCTTACTCTGGCATGGTATTAAAAATTGTTTTTCTGTACTAGGGCTCAGACTATTGCTGTAAGAGAAGGAGGGGTAATGGCTATTAAATGATGGAAAACTGTAAGAAAAATTTCTTACTTCAGTGAAAGCCTTTTTAGGTAATCGTGATCACTCAGCATTGTGGATGTGACCGTGTCTCTCTGGGTCACTTTGGGCAGATTTACTGTGTGTCAGCAGCCCTCCTAAGAGGGACACTTGCCTCTGAAGAGTATGAAGGGATCGTTTGTCGGTTAGCAAATGTAAAAGAGAGGTGGGACTCAACGAGCTCCTAGGCCAGGCAGGGGTGTGGGTCCTGTCCCGGCAGGACACCTGTGCAGTCTTTGCTGTCCAGGCAGCTGTGAACAAGGTGGAGGAGGATCACCCTTTGCTTTCTGAAACAGGTCTTCCTTGCTGCCGGGTCGCTGTCAGCTACCTGCTTGCTTTCCCTCTTCGGGATTTGATGTCTTTCCGTGTGGGTGGTTTTCCTCTTGAATCCTTAAGCTGGTCACAAACCCAGCATCTCCAGTCCTACTTTTGTGTGCAGTTTGACCTTTCTGGCCTTACTCTGTGCTTTCTCCGAGGTCTTTCTTGTAGCTTGGCAGTTTCCTTAAAAGTAAGCCCGAGGCACAGTGACGCTGCTGTGCCGTGTCAGAGCCAGACCTCCAGCCACAGCAAGCTGGACCCCACAGAGGGAGGTCACGCAGCAGAAACGTTAAAAGCTGAGGTCATGTATTATCAGGCATCAAATGAGGAACCTAAATGAAATTAATTATTCAAGTGCCACGGTTGATGATTTGGGAGTCTTACACAGCTTTTATGTTTTTTTTTAAATAATTTGCACAAGTTGATTTTAATGCTGAACCTTTGCTTTGTGGCAGCGCTTCTGTTACAACTATTTCAGGTGTTAATAATGTGTTATGAGCAATGCAGTTTGAACAGGCAGCAAACACCACTCCTGGCCTTAAATACTCAGTTCACAGCTTTTGGAAGATTTTCTGGATACCCAGCCCTCAACTGTCCTTTCTTCTGTTCTAGGTAATGGGCCCCATCATGATCGAAGTTGTGTTTACAACCAGAGCAACATAGTAGATGGAGTTTACTGTCTCCCAATAGCACATTGGATTGAAGTCTCTGGACATACTGATGAGATGAAACATACAACTGACTTCTATTTTAATATTGCAGGACATCAGGCTATCCATTACTCCAGGTAAAAGTATAGGGTTTGGCTGGTGTCAAGTATTCAAACAGAAAATCTGTACCAATATAATGTCAGCAAACTTTGAATTCGAAGCGGTGCATGGTAGTCTGTATGTAACAGTAACGTTTAACAAAGATTCAACACTTCTGTGCAATTAAATGTCACTTTTAGCAATCAAAAGGAGAGCTTCTGTGTTCAGGGGTACCTGCAGCCTGCACAGGTGTGTTCCATCACATCTGAAAATGCCTAATGGTAATTAATGGATACATTTATGAGCAACTATAATTTTCAAATGCTTGCCCACATACATGTGTAAATATGCATATGTCATGTGTTTGGTTTGGGATTATTTTGCTGAAAAACATCTCATGGGAAACAGAAAGAATATATTCCAGCACCAGAACCTTAGGGTGTCACGTTAATCTCTCATGTGCAGCAGCAACTGCAATTGGTGACAGCTGTTACAGGTAACTTCTGCTTCTGTGCATGCATTTAAATAAAATACTAAAACTTAGATAGTCTTAAAATGTTTGCACTTCCGTGGTGTTCACTTGAGTCCGCTGCCTCACCAGCAAAACTTAAAGAGAAGACGGCACCCACCCTTTAGGGCTGGAGATAAAGCACAGGCTATACTTAGAACAGGGGTCTTAGCAGTGGTGGTGAACTGTGGAATTTGGGACCATTTATGATTTTTCTCCATCTCCAGACACAGATGAGGCAGCAAGTTTGTTGATTGATAATGGGTGTGTGAATGCAGGCAGCCCTGTTATGCCATGTGCAGCTGGTACTGATTACAGAACCGTTAGTGATGCCAAAGGGATATGTATTTTTTGAAGAAAACAAACCACCTCATACTTGCATTAGATCTTGGCATTGCTTTGTGTGAATTTTTCCAGATAAGCGTTTCAGCTACTCCATCTTATCTCCTCTTTCTACTCTTTTGTCTCCAACATCCCACAAGGTAGGAAGCCAGATTATTTTTTCTTGTCAGAGTTGCAGTGTATGAGGGAAAGATTTCCTTCTCTTGGTGCCTTTTAGAATAGTACGGATTCATAAATGCTGTTAGACATATGGAGGTATTTTTGTGGCTTGGTAACTTTTCCCTGAGACCCCCTCAAGCTATGTAATACGCCTGACAGACTATACTGTTATCTGTATCTTAAGGATCCGTTTCCAGCACACCATCAGAAAAAAGATCTTGTTTATTCCAAAGCACAGACTTGTCAATCCCAAATAATCTTTGCTTGGCAGAAGAAGTTTGTGAGAAAGACGAACAGCTGTCAGAAAGCAAATATCTAAGCACCAAGGGCTAACTTATCTTCCTTTCTAGAGACAGCAGTAATCCATTTAATAGTGGCTTATCTGCATGACTATATGTTTCTAAGATTAGGTAAAAAGCACAGATTTAACTAAAGAATACTTGGGTAGAATTTTCTGAGTCTTTTCCAGATGAAGATCTCCATTCCCCTCTCACACACACACACCTTGATTGCAAGGCAACCTTCTAAGGGCATCTTAGTAAGTAATTCTTATCTCATTTCTTTGAGCTATATTAAGTGAGCATACCCCATAACAGTCCTGTTGCATAATTATTTTTCATACTTTGAAGATATGAAGCCCTAAATGACTTTTAAATTATTAACAGCTGGGGGGTAGATTCACCATTCTGCTGGTTATAACAAAACAGCCCCAAAATACTGGCTAATTAAGCTTTTCTTTTTTTTTTTGGGCAGAGCAGCCGAAGTGAGCTGATGAAAATGCCTTTATTTTATAATGGATTTATTGATTCAGAAGAGTGCTGTGGAGATTAATAGCACCAAAAAGAAAAAAAACCACATACCACCACCCCCCCAAAAAAAACCCACAACAAACCAAAGAGCCAGTCCCTGTGCCTGTACTGTTAAAAGCTCAGCATATGATGAGTCTCTGGTTATCCAGCTAAAGCTACTATTTTCCATGCTGTAACAGAGGCAGCAGTACCATGGGGAGCTTTATGAGCACAAATTCTGAGTCCTGTCACCAGCTGTAGGTTCTTTACAGAATGGTGGCAGCTGGACAAAAGTGATTTATCAGTGAAAACTGATGAAGAGGTGAGCCCCCTTCTCTATGCTGCCCCACTTAATAGGATTGGTATGCGCAAATTAGCTGCAGAGGAAAGTTTATCTCTGTCAAAACGTCCTCCCACATGAGCCCTCGGACTCATTTTACTTGTCACCTGTCTAATCACAATAATTAGAAACAGTTGCTCGGAGCTTCGCCACCACCTTGCTTCTTCATAAAACATGTGCCTCAACTTTAAATGGGCTGCAGCAGGATGAAAAGAACCTCCTCCTAGCTGTTGCCAAAAATCATTCTGAATCATGCTGAGGCTGATGGCAATGCTCTGAGGAATCAGGTTTTTCTCATTTGAAATAGATGTATTCACTCATTAATCGGTGAATTTATGTTTAAACTTATATTTTGCAAACTCACTGTGTGTTGGTCATTCAGGTTGGAGAGTATATGATTTGTTTTTTAAGCACAGCAGAATTTGAATTAATTTTTTGAAGTGTAAACTGGAGGTCGCCCGCAGCTAAGAGTCATGACTGATACCTCTGTGGCATTAGTGTTCGCTCGTTTTGGGCATGTGATGATACATATCACTGAAATCTGATTCAGGAAAAAATAACAGTCTCTTTCGAGTTAGATATTACTGCAATAAGATGCCTTCAAATTGCAGGAGAGTTCACTTAGGACACAGTAATCTTCCAAAGCAAATTGGAGTTACTGTAATCTTTTCTGGGAGAAGATAACTCCGGAAAATTTGTAACTCTGGGGCACGTTCACTCTGTTCCAGTCCCATCAGAGGAGGGTGGAACTTCCTAATTCATAGGCGTTATGTACCTTATTATTTATATAAAGCCCTCTGCAATTCTCAGAGAAAAGGCATTGCATAAGAGCAAGAGAGGGAGCGACACCTGAAATTTTAAAATCCTTAAAATAATGTGTTGGAGACAATGATGCTTGATGGCAGAATTAGGTGCTATGGGAATGAATATCAATGAGAAGAAAAGCTATCTAGTTACAGTTTTCTATTTTCAGACTAGTTTTAGGTTTCCAAATCCACCCATGATAAGTAGTGAGTTCCAATATGAGTTTTTGCCTACTCATTTGAATATGATGTATGACCACCACCTCTTCATTTTAGGACATATAATTTGATGCCATCTCTGGTGTCTAATTTTTAATAATATGTGTTTAAAATTTACTGTCTTCGTAACTATAATGTTATACATTGTGCGTGCTTTTTGTGGGTCATATCCTCTAAAGCTGATGAAGAGAAATATTTTTTACACACATGCAACTAAACGGGGTTCTCTAAGTGAATTCCTCAGGCGACAATGATAGCTAATGTCTAACTGAAGTATTGTTACTGCTGCTAAACATTTTCGGGGAAAATACACCATCAGCTTTAAATATAAAAGAATGTAATGGGGGAGCCACTACATGAGAGTAGCTGTGGGTCCTGACAACAACTGTTTGAGGTATAGTTTTTATAGTAGCTTTTCACACTTATATATTAAGGCCAGTACATATTGATATTTCATGTTTATGGAATGGGTGGGATGCTACTGTAATTGGATATAATCCAAGAAATTGTGGAGTTGGCAAATGTGTTGCTATGATCAGTGTTTATATCCCTTATTTTTTCTGTAAGACAAAACAAAGCAAAAGACACAAGAAAATAAACCCATGTGCTTGGAAGTACTTTTTTTGTTTGTTTGTTCCTTGATAGTTGCAAATTAAACTTAATTTATAAGGTAGTCTTTACAAATGCTTTGTCTCTTTTTGGTAAGACGGTTTCCTTTGGCACTGCCAAATTGATGTGGGCTGTAACCAAAACGCGAAGTGGGGGCGATCAGGAGAGTCACATAAAATGTGTGCTCCCAATTTGTACTAAAATGTTAACATAGATAGGTGAGTGGATGAGGAATGTTCCAGGGCAAAATCCAGATGCTTCTTGTTTACCTTCTCAAGGCACTTAAGCAGTCATCTGCTGATGAGCGCTGGGTTTCCTTTTGTCTGTAGTAATCCTTCTGTGAAGAAAATGACCATTTACTTGATTGAAATGCATTTTTCATTGGGGTGGAAAGCAAGAAGCTGGTTGTGTGTAGTTTCACATGAGAATCATTGGAGAAGGGAAGTAATGTAACTTCTATTAATTTATTTGGGTCATACGAGGCACAGTGATTGTTATTTGAATGTTAGAATGCTGCTGGGATTGATGAATATACAGACATCTGTGGTAGGACTCAGTTTGAGATTGACTACTGAATTTGCATGTCTGTTTACAGCAATTCAACTCACTGGCAACTAGATGTCTACTTTAGAGGGAATTGAAGAATTGAATTGGTCTCCAAACTCCACTGATGATGCTGATGAGACCTCTATTGATTTATAATGAGACTTTAATCATGCTGTCGGGGTGCTTGAATGTTGATGTCTAGTGTCATTTGAGATGCTCTGGAGTTTGCTGCCTGGCCTCCAGCTGCTGCACTACAGGAACACGGTTTCTTACAGCTCTTTGGCCGTACCTGTGAGCCCCATCCAGACGTTCCAGATGCTATATGGCATCTCAGATGTCAGTGGGAAGCTGTCCTTAGGCAATGCATTGGGTATTGCTGTGCCTGAAGACACCTGTTTGTAGATAACCAGGGCTAGGTGCCTTCATCTTGATCTAGTATCTCATCCCTAGCTGGTGTTAATGAATAATGCCCATCTTGCTTCAGTATGAAGTCAGAATTACCTTTGTGACTGGAAAAAATGCTAGAGAGAGCACTTTTATTTATTTTTACTCTTTAACTTCTCTTCTGACTTACTGTTTTTAATTTATTCACAAAATAATATACCCTTCTGTTTTAAGTGTAATTCTGAAGTAATTTTTTTATTACTGAAATATAAAAAAAGCTTTAAAGAGGAAGCTGTCACAAAATACCCCAGAGTGCAGTGAACTATGCTACTGTGGTAGA